ATTCACCCTATCTAAAATCTTTTCTGAGCTCTTTTTCTCTAATGATATACTCTCTGACTCAAATCAACAGTAAGAGTAAAACATACGGTAATGTGAAGTTTCAGTACCTCTCAAATGTTCAAATAGTAAAGATTCGCTTAATTCCTCTTTCTGTGGTTGAGATATTCACAGTTCTCACATTCCCAATTATTTCACTTCTCTTCTCTCTCGCTCTTTAAGACTTTCTATAATCAGGAAAATTCTTCTATATTTCAATTTCTGTTTTTGTCTCCGTTCTAGCTCTACCAGAACTCATCATCTTCTTTCTCCGGAACAAAAAAAAAAGACTCCTGATCAAAGAGTCCAGCTCCAATTTTCTCCCCATATCCCTTATTTCTCTCGCCTATACCACCCTTATCCCAGATCTCACATCTCTCTCTACTCCTCCCCTAAGTATACTTCGCCCCCCAATGTCCCAACTGATAAGTCATCTTCCCCATCAAGAAAAAGTAACACTTAATACAGCGGTAATGCGTATTGCAATGTTTACAGATTTTGGAAAAGCCAGTGTCGCTTATGGAGGCGGTTTCGTTGGTTTCGGCGCAGGAACAGCAGACGTAGGAGAACGTCATTTTTGGTTTGATTTGGTTTGGCTGGGATTAGTGATGGCTGAGATTAGTGATGGTTGGGTGTAGTGATGAAGTGGTGATAGAATGAGTGTGATCTGATGTGATGATTTGGTCTGGTGATAAATGGATGGAGGTCTAGACAGTGATACCGATGAAGATAATAAAAACCAACACTTCAAGAACGTCTTGCTCATTTATACTCTTACCAGAAGGCATTTACATAGTTGTTCCGATTTAATTCGAAGTCTACATACAAAGAGATATTCGAGGAACAATGGACTCATCAATGAATCAGCAGAATTTGAATTTAGATTCTTTAAAGAAAGAAAAGAAGAGGGAGTTGAGAAGAAAGAAGGGAAAGAAGGGAAAGAAGAGAAAGAAAGAAAAAAGGGGTTAAGGAGTCGAAGTCTATGTATATACACAAAGAATCGTTGAGTAATAATACCCTGGAGAACAATAAACTGTACATTCGATTCACAGTCTAACTTTAGAATTTTTGAAGGAAGGAGAAATAGGCGAGGCAGAGAAGGGGCTTTGTTTGTGGAGGTTTGCATATGTAACAAAGAGGTGATAGACGACGGGGGGTTAGGGAGGCTGAGAGCTTTTATCTTTCGTCGTTCAAGCGAAGTGATCGATTGATTTACCGAAAAGAGTTGAGAGGCAGACGTCGATATAGATGCAGATGCAGATGAAGAAGTATCTTTCTCCTTCTCTTTCTCTTTCTCTTTCTTTTCCTTGATACTGACGGTAGATCAGATGTCTCGATTGAGGTTATGAAATTGAAGTGAAAAGTTATGGAAACTAAAAGAGAAGAAATCCCATACACTTCTACTAACCGTTTGGCACGAGCACGAGCATCACATCAATTTCCGATCAAAACGCTTCACGTATTGCGATTCCGTCAATTGATATAGTGACATTCATCAAATATCCATTTATTAACTATCCACTTAATCCTCAATGCCCTCGAAAACATCATCATCATCCACTTCTCCATTACCTCCAATATTCTCCTGCTTTCGTCTCTTACTTCCTTGGATAGCTCCTTTCCTGTTATTTTCCAATTTCCTCTCATAACCACTCTTCGTACTAATCTGCATTCTCGATTTCGATTTCCCTCCCTTATCTTTTCCATCCTTCCCATCCTTTGCATTACCCAAACCCCCTCGCCTAGCTTCAACACCATATTTCCTCAACTTCTTCTTTTCTTCCTTGCTAGGCGTTGGTAATGCATCTAATAACCATTTCTGCATACTGGCTTCACTTGCTGGTTTTCCAGCTTGTTTCTCTGATGCTGCGATGATATTTGCGACGTTCTTAACATGTGGGATATCCTCTTTGGTATAAAATGTCACTGCAATACCACCATCACGACCAGCTCGTCCAGTACGTCCTACACGATGGATATAAGCTGCTCCTGAATTTGGAACATCATAGTTGACTACCCCATTGATACCTTTGAAGTCGACACCTCGGGACAGAATGTCCGTGGTAATCAAAATCCAAATTTCACCATTACGGAATCGTGTCATGACTTGATCTCTGACCGAGTCGGAAAGATCTGAATGTAACACTGCAATTCTGGTAGAACCACCTGCTTCAGCGGGGATATCATACAGAAGTTCAGCGTGTAAAGCAATAGCTCTGGGTATCGTTTGTGTGAAGACGAGGAATGGAGGTCGTAAAGATTCTGTTCCATCTGTAGTTTTTGCTGTGGGTCGAAGCAATTGTCGAAGAGCAATAAGTTTACCAGGTTCTGTCGCAGCATAGATCAAACGATGTGTGATATTAGGAATCGCAGAATCTTTAAGTCCGACTACAAGACGAACAAGATTTGAGTGTTTCTCGAGGCCTAGTTTCTCTTGTCTGGCTTGTATTGTGGCTGAGGCGAGAGTCTCAATACTTGAACCCATCGTTGCTGACCAAAGAGTGACTCGTAGATCAGGATTGATGCATGAATTCCAAATGCCTAAGGTCTGTTCCCTGAATAATGGGTCTAGAAGAACATCTGCTTCATCGAAGACCAATGTACGAACGGTCGGTAGTGGAGCATGACTATCTGAAGATCCTAAAGACAAGGCATGAAGGAAGATCAAAGGTGTTGTAACTAAAATATCAGTCTTCGTGAGTGGCTGATTAGCTGAAGCAGTTCCATCAACAGATTCGTCATCATCCTCATCGTCGTCTGACTGGTTCTTTTCCTCGGTATTGGCACTTGGTATTATCTTCATCCCTTTCTTCATTCCCAAAACCTTGACTCCAGTTCCAATGCTAAGCTTCTTTCCCTCGTTAACAATTTGACTAGCGAGCTCCTTCGTAGGTGCTATTATAACAGCCTCCAAATCATGATTCTTATCAGAAGTTCTGCGTCTTTGTACTATCTCATTAATAACCGGTATTAAAAACGCCAAAGTCTTTCCACTCCCAGTAGGCGCAACGGCCAATAAATCCAGAGTACTTGTCAATTCATCAGTGTCTACTGATGAACTACTCAACGCGACTGAAGGCTTCAAAAGTAGCGGCAAACTTCCCATTTGAACTTCAGTGGGAATCTTATATCCTTGATCCTTTAAGTTTTCTGATAGTCTGCCTGATATCTTGTATGTAGCTCGTAAGTCTTCAAACGCCATCAAAGGCTGTGGGTACAACTGCTTGATCTCTTCCTTCGAACTTTTAGCAGGCTTCGATTTCTTCGACTTCTTAATCTTCTTCTGCCGTTTTGCGCCAGGAAGAAGAGTGACCTTCAGTCGATGCGATTTTAATATCTGCCGACATTCTCCTTCATCTAGAAGTGCCGCTGGTTCTGAGGATTGATTCGAAGGTGCAGGTTTTGGCGCATCGTCATTGGAAGCGACTTTCTTGGATTTCTGTGCTGCAGGTTCTGATGAGAAGAAATTGAGATCCCCATCTTTTTGCTCCGTAGTATCAACCTCCTGATATGGTCCTCCTCTCTTTCTTTTCTTGCCTCTCGATTCGGGAATCGGATCGTGGTACAATTGGGGATTTGCAGATGTTCCACTCGAAGGTAATTTCGAAGCAACGCCTCCTACTTTTTGCGATCCATTCTGACCCGACTGCTTCGACGACCTAGAAAGTAACCTTAAAATATCCATTGCTGCAAATTGTCGAAGTTTTCAATATCGAGCGCTGTTCAAACTATCGCAAAGTTAGCTAGCTATATTTTCGCGCCGGGATGAACATTTTATTTTTCGAATTCTGCCACTAGATGACCCGCCACCGCCTTCCTTTTCCATCCAATCAACAATGCCAAAGTGGATGGAACCGGGACTTCAAAATAAATTTACAACACAGCTCAGAGCTCTTCAATCGTACGCCAATCCTCACATCACGGTATGTTGATGAAGCCACTGGCAGAGGCAATATTTACTGATATTCTGCTCTAGCGATACAATAGCCATCATGCCAGAAACATCAATCTCCCCACCGGCCGTCACACGCCCAAGCAAACCCGTTTCGGAAGCTCTTTTGAACGAGAAGGTAAATACCACATTATATCAATTCCGCACCTACCATACCTATGAATTATTCATATGAGAAATACACTGCTAACCCAGCAATCATATAGTGGGACCACTGTCTTTCCTCGATGCTCATACGATCCTCCGTCGGACTCGGATTTGGTGTTGTCGCCTCAGTCTTGATATTCAAGCGAAGAGCATGGCCTGCATTTGTTGGTGTTGGATTCGGTGCTGGAAGAGCTTATGAGGAGTGCAACACCTCATTTAGAAGGGTGGGAAAGGACGGTATTAGAGTACAGAGACCTTGAGTGGATAATGGCTTTATCGAGGGGAGGGGAGGGGGGTAGTCTTGGAGTACATAGACGTGAATGGGAAGCCTGAACACTTTGAAGTGTGTATGATTACATGAAGACAGTACTTCAAATAATTCTGGGCTGGCTCACTTCTCCGTACTGTAGCACAAATGTTCAGTTGGCTTGTGAAATTGGTCTCGCGTGATTATAGTTGTTTGTCCAAAGCATCCATTTTCTACATATCCAGGGTTGGCAATCGGTCCAAATTTATGTCTCATTGATTCGAATTCATTAGTCTATGCTTGATTTTCCCAAATTTTCAGTACTGCGTTCACCAAGGAGCTATCACATTAGTAATATGAAGCTCTAGGGGCCAGACAAAGGCCATACAGTATTTGGTTGTTTACTCCCATCATCTCGTGATTCCGAAGACAACAAGCTACCCACAGGCGTCAATTGTTAAGTTACAGACTGTCAAAGTTCTGACGCCTGGCTTTTCTTCATACTTGAATCATCTCTCCCAGTGAATAACCGTATCGCAACACTCATCAAGTAATACAATGATGTAAATTCCAAATCAGAGCTCCATCATAGTTGGCTACCAGCTCAATTCGTCTTTCTCAAACAGCGCTCCTCCTCCGACCCCCAAGGCTTGGAGATCTCTTGCAGCTGTTTCCCAACACAGCACATGCATTTCCACTCGATAAACTCTGATGTCTGGATAAATCCGCTATTTTTCCCGTCCAGGCATGTTCTAACTTGTCATCTCCTGTTTTTGTTAAAGGACGAGAACATTTAGCTGCCTGCCCGAATCTTCTGCTCCCATTCTCTTCACTCGAATAAGTTGTTCCATCAAGCTTAGCCATGAGAATGTCCCGATTCGTGTTGTCTTCCAAGCCATACTTGACGGCCCGTAGTCTATGGATATACCAGGTCACAACCATATAGGTTCCGTATGAAAGCCAGAGGAGTAAGGCGACAATGCAGACGACGAGTAGCAAGAGGATCGGAGGATCGATTCTTAACTTTTGGAGATTGGGATGCATTGCATGTGGTCGACTTAATATACTAGGTGCAAGTTTAGAGGGTGGCGGAGAGCGGTATGCAACGATTTGTTTGTGGCGACGAACATTGTATGGACGTTGTTGCTGCTGTAGTTTTTGGACGTAAGACATTGGAAGGACTTGCGTAGCCATGAATGACTGGGTGATGAGTATTGTGTAGGGCGTTGACCAACTGGCTTAGAAAGTGATAATGTATTTTCTCAAACGAAACAATTTGGGAAAGGAAATGATAGACTTAGGTTAAGGAATGAAAATGCAAGTAACGCTGAAGATGTTTAGCATGCTTGCCTTGAGGGAATGTATATGAAGGAAACATTTTTTGGAGGGCAAACATAGATTGTGGGTTAATCTTTCCAAATTTGATGACTTCAGAGGCTTTGCTTGTCAAATAAGGAAGGTATTGTGTAGACTATTCCAAGCAACACTGTGTTAATCAGACAATGATCAACGCTTGTTGACTGCATTTCTTGTGATCAAATAGTTGATAAACTTCTCCGGGCAGATATCTTGAAGAATCGGTTCGAGTTCCGTAAAATTGCCCTACACAGACGGATAAAGCCCTCTCCCCAAAACGTTTGTCATATGGAGTATTGCTCAAGGTAGCATGAACCTCAAATTTGGTAAGAACAAATGACTACTGGGTAGTCAGCAACTCTGCTTAGGTAAGGAGGAATGATACCCGGGAATGTATTTCGCGAAGAAGAACGATTAAAGTTATCCGTTATCGGTTTGAGTGCTTAGTATAAGGGGTAAGGATTCGGGGTCTTGGGGTAAATAAAGTAGAGGAGAAACATTGTTTAAGAAGACAACATGATTGCAATAGTTCACTCAGCGACTTCGCATGATTCACATTAGGTCAGATAGAATGACAGTGGAACAAAACTGAAGGTAGGAAGGACAGCCTTTCAACAACCTGTTACACCATTTGAGGTTTGTCAACGCTCTGCGTTTCTGAGTAAGGATTTCGTATAAAGAAGCATCCCAATCAATACAGGGCTGAGCAAAGAAAGTATGCTTAGCTGTCTTGTAAATGCAAAACTTAATTCAGCTTGAATATGAAAAGTGATCTAGCTTGTACCACCACAAGCATCAACAAACAGGAAACATGAGAATCCTTTAGAATCTATTTTCGAAGATTCTGGATCGGATCACAATCGCAATCTCAATTTCAATCCCAATCCCAATCCCTTTCCCAGTCCAAAGGTTTCGACATCTGAGTCGGGTTACCAAGATTGCAAAGTTGGTCAAGCCTTCAGGAGAAAAATATCTCGATTGTGATTCGTGATAAGCGCGTGATCATAAGCTTTGGAAACTTTAATATTGCCCGCCTCTTGGTCATGTTTAGGCTATCGAGCGTACCAATATCTGGCCATCGACTAGGTTCACATATCGCCCATAACTCAAAGAGGGGATGGGATAGGTATCGCCAGGTATAGAAACAATAAGCTTACATAAAGCCTAGCAGAGCATAATCATACCTTTCAGCGACGATCTTCCATATTAGAAAGTTTCTTGCCCTGGGTAAGGTCAAGGCTATACGCAATGAAATGATAAAAATCCTAGTCCTTCTGATGGCAAGACGTAAATATTAATAATTGTCACGGAGGACCGATCCCATCCATCTGACAAGGAATTTTCAAAGCTTCTGGAAGGAAATTGGAAGGAATTTCAAGCAGATTAACCCCTTTTTGGCGGCTATCAGTGACCCACTTACTGCATGGCGGACATGGATACCGAGGACGGCGGTAAGGTTCAAGCATTTGGTTTTGAAATGATGTGAAAGAGATGTATCCAATTATTACGATAGTTTCAAGAAGTCCTTTTCACCTAAGCAGTATCCAATTGATTCGGTTGATGGATTTGGAGGCTCGTCAAATATTCAAGACATACGGAGTAAGATAAGAATCATAAGATGAAAAGCGAGCCCCAGTTAATTGTAGGTAGATCAGGACATATGTAATCTTGAATCCACCATGGCACCATGTAATAACGATTTTTGAATCAATTGAGTAGTCTGTGGGGTGTCATGGGTGCTGAAATGGCTGGTCTGGCTCGCCTGGCTGGCCTGGCTGGTGGTCGTTGAAGAATTCGGACTTGATTTGTTTCATCCATCTTATGCAGAAAGAAAGGTTTGAGCGGCGGTAGAAGCGGGACAGTTTTTCAAGAAAACAGGAATCGAGAGCCTCGGAACATTTGGATTGACATGTTTTCGTCCAAAGTTGTATTGTGATCATCGGAGAGTAGTTGTTGCAGTTGAAATATACTCCGCAGTGGAAATATACCCCGTGCAATACGAAAAACATCATATTCTGCTCTGACTATCAATACTAACCAAGATACGCTGGCCCGCTGGCAGACCTAGAATTGTGATGTGAATCTACGAGCAGTCAAACCGTTCCCTCAAAGCTTCCCACATCGGATAGTTTGAGGATAATTCAAACCATTTTTATATCATTCAGCAAGTTTCATTGGCGCAGTGGAATATGTGGCGTTGTATGAAGCCCCTTCTTTCTCATGCAGGCAACTCGTATCTGCCCCAACATTTACCAGATAATGTAATGTAGTGTGTAGGTAGTATGTACGTACGTACTCAGGTACTCCAAATACTCGCATGAACAGTTCCCATTCCTTAAGGCTGATGGGGAACGATGATGCAAAGAAGAGGTGGGAATGGAATGAATTGTAATGTGTGTGATGCGTATTGTGTACGAGCAATCTGTAACCTGCATTTCATTCAATTGACCTTGTTCTTTGAGTATATATCATGGTGCTATCACTTGATTACATAACTTCCTCCTAATTCCTCCTCCTCCTCCTCAAGAACGAGTTCGTACCGAGGCTTTGGTTTCGTTGAAGAATCTAAAGATGGCACCGATCAATCTTTTTCTTCAAGAGAGTCAAAAGAAGTGATGGTTCTCCTGAGACATAATCTAGGTAGTTATCATTGGCTATTGGCTACAGATACTGTAATCTGACTTGATTTCTTTGCTTCTTCTTTTTCTCTTTCTTTCTTTCTTTCTTCTGCAATAGACACTATAACCAAATCATTCTTCTTCCCATGCTTCTATTAATCTTAGAGTACGGAGCTTCTTCTCTGATACGTCGATTAATCCTGGTTTTCATCTGCAGAATGGAATTAGCCCCTGGTTCATTCCTTGTGGACGGTATTGTTTTATCCTAGTTGCTTTGCCATCGGTAGGTAGTCTATGGAGTAAGTCAGATTCTAATAACAGACATGCAGACTGCTGCAGACTGCAGTAAAAATCTTCCGAGCTCTTTGTTAGCCTTCCTTTAATGTGCAGCACTCAATTCATAGAATATGAATCACTCAAGAAAGCCTACACCCATCCAACTGGTAACACTAGGTAATGATGTTGGTATACTCTACAAATGATCGAGATGACAAACTTTACGAATGGCTGTTCGTGAATGGCTGTTCTCATAGCTTGGTACTGGATGAAAGCTTCATATCCTCTGACTAATAAGCCTTCAGCTCACCAAACTTCCTTTCACTAGACAATATAGAGTTCCAACAGTATGCTTGCTGCTTCAAACCTTCACAAAGAGTTCTATCAATTTAGATGATGCAAACTTGTAACATTGATATCAAAATACCTATGATATGATGGATGAATGCTGGACGATATACCCAAGCTGCGGAGTATATTTACTTAGCTATAAACTCCTCATAATCTCCTCCGTGGGTATGGAGACATCCACAGCGGACTTCTTCCCTATCTTATAGATATATCAACAGACCGAGGAACGATATATCCAACTAATCATCAACAGGCAGACAAACCTAATAAGTAACGGCAACCAGGCAGAGTACACGTCCCCGTTATGTCAAGACATTCACTAGTTAATTAGATCAGATTCATTAACCATTAATATCAACCAAGCTTCATTCTTTTTTTGATAAACCTTTCACTGGTTGCAGATTGCCGTCATTGATTGAGATGGACAGTCTTCTGATGAAAAATGACACTGATCATTGAGCAACTGAGCAATTGAGTTTTTGAGCTTTTACGATCACCTTGGAGGGGAAAGTATGTATGTAGTGTGTAGTAGGTAGTAGGTAGTAGGTAGTAGGTAGTAGGGTAGTAGGTAGTCAGTAAGTGGTAAGCAGGTCATAGAGGAAGATTCTCATCTTGATACCTATTCACTCCATCATCATCTACCGACACTACACACTACCTACCTACCTACCCAGTTACTATGGCAAATTACATTAATTATTATTTTTGATATCAAATCTCGAGGTATCCATATGTTTGCTATTGTATGCTATGACTGTATCATTATTATATAGATACTTATTCACTTTATTACTCATCTAGAGCTTGGTGGCTCATCTTCTTTGTCTAGAGGATCTATGATATGAGTCTCTCCTCTCTCTCATTCATAAAAAAAAAAATGCTCGAGTAATAATAATAATAATAATAATAATAATAATAATAATAATATTAACCACATAATAATAAAACCCTGATCTGATTCCACTTATTAATATCCACTCTCATACATTCCCCCTCCCAGAATCCAAATTGGGAAAGACATTAGCGCAAAGCCAGCCGAGAACTTGCTCCGTAGCCTTCTCACCCCTTCCCTATTTCGATTATAATTGATTATTCTTTCCCGACTGCTAGTGACTAGCAATTATAACTAGGGACTAGGTAGTATAAACTTACCCAAGTCGAATACTGAATAATCCCAGAACAAGAGGGAAATCAAATCAAAAGACTCTTTCTCCGTTCGTTCGTTCATTCAACCCATCTATTCATCCAACCATTTCCTTTCCGACAAACTACCTCCCTACCTAACCCATCCATCTATCCATCTACCAAAAGATCGACTTTGGTTCACATAATTGTTCACATTTCATTCCATTCGATTCAAACTTGAAGGACTTTTCTGTCCCCATCCATTTGGTTGACCAAGAGCCTCGACTTTACTTTCTTCGGGATTGATTTAAGGATTGAAAGAGTGTATTGTTAATACTGGTAAGTAACTGAGTCTGACTTTCTTTGTTTCCTTTTGGATGGCACCATTCCTCATCGCATCGCAATGGAAAGAGAATAAATAGCAGCAAATCAAATTGCATCCATTCACACTCACTACCCAAATTGTTTTGTCGGGAAGACCGACCGACTGCGACACACACATATCTTTGAAAATCATTTACGACTCGAGCCCTTTTACACCATGTGCAATACCAACTATATCAATCTCGGAAAGAAGCATTGCATCTTGCATTGCATTTGAACCCCCCTCCCCTATTCACCAACCCGACCGAGTGCAATTCAACTTCAATCCAGCACCTCATTGCTGATTGTCGCCTTTGCTTACCATCAGCAACATCTCAATCATTCAGCCGCAAGTTATTCATTGTCTGATTTCCGCTAATCACTTACCTTTCACAGACCGCACTCTATCTTGCGGCCGGTTCTGCGACGAATTTACACTCACCTTACGACCCTTTTTTACGACTTTTAATAATTACAAACCACAATAATCTATCAAGATGGGTTGCGGTATGAGCACTGAGGAGAAGGAGGGAAAGGCCAGGAACGAGGAGATTGAGAACCAACTTAAGAGGGACAAGATGCTGCAGCGAAATGAAATCAAGATGCTTCTCCTTGGTAAGTAACATTGTCCTTGATCATACTTCGTCTATCATCAATTGGTTAGTCTAACACTTTCGTAGGAGCTGGTGAATCCGGAAAGTCTACTATCTTGAAACAGATGAAACTTATCCATGAGGGAGGTTATTCGCGCGACGAGCGAGAATCATTCAAAGAAATTATTTTCAGCAACACAGTCCAATCAATGCGCGTTATCCTCGAAGCCATGGAATCCCTGGAATTACCTCTCGATGATCAAAGAGCAGAATACCATGTCCAAACCATCTTCATGCAGCCACAACAAATTGAAGGAGACAATTTACCACCCGAGGTCGGAAGTGCTATTGCTGCTTTATGGAAGGATGCTGGTGTTCAAGATTGTTTCAAGCGATCAAGAGAATATCAATTGAACGACTCTGCTCGATAGTAAGTTTTTGATTGTGAATAGATTATGGATACCTGTCGAAAATCTTGTGAAAAAAACTGATCCTAACACTCTTTCTCTAGCTACTTTGATAACATCGAAAGAATTGCTCAACATGATTACATGCCAAACGATCAAGATGTCCTTCGCTCCCGTGTCAAGACCACGGGTATCACCGAAACCACCTTCATCATTGGAGACCTCACCTACCGCATGTTCGACGTTGGAGGACAACGTTCCGAGCGAAAGAAGTGGATCCATTGCTTTGAGAATGTCACCACAATCCTCTTCTTGGTCGCCATCTCCGAGTACGATCAATTGCTCTTCGAAGATGAAACTGTCAACCGTATGCAAGAAGCGCTTACACTTTTCGACTCGATTTGCAATTCAAGATGGTTCATCAAGACTTCAATTATCTTGTTCTTGAACAAGATCGATAGATTCAAGGAGAAGCTTCCCGTCAGTCCAATGAAGAATTACTTCCCAGACTATGAAGGTGGAGATGATTACGCTCTCGCATGTGACTACATCCTGAACAGATTCGTCAGTCTCAACCAGCACGAGACAAAACAAATCTACACCCATTTCACTTGCGCTACCGACACTACCCAGATTAGATTCGTCATGGCGGCTGTTAATGGTAAGCTTCACAACTTTCAAGTGTTTTATACCGTTTCTAACTTATTCTAGACATCATCATACAAGAGAACCTCCGCTTGTGTGGTCTGATATAATCATGGAATACCCAACTGCAGTCGAACAATATCGACTACAGAAATCTCCTTAATTCAGCATGGCGTTAATTACAAAACCGGGGTCTCATTTTTCCAATACCAACATCTTCTTGCACAGTCACTTTCGGTCTTGCAACCTTTTTTTGCTATAGAACCATTGTTTTTCTTCGAAGGGGGTGTCGAGGGTACGGTAGTATCGGAGCACTTCATGGGTTGTTCTACTTGACCTCCGCTTCGATGTGCCATCTATTATATCCCTTCTACGTTTTAGGGGGTAGGATCGACCGAGACTATTTTCTCTTATTACTTAAGTTTTGTTTTAAATCCTGTTTGTCATATTAATAGCGACGACGTAACACCGTTCGGGATGTGGTTGGTTTAATGCCAGCAACTGATGATGTCGCACGGTTTGCGGTTTGCCGTGTTCTCTTTTTTGATGAAGGTGGGGGGTAGTTGTGTAGTACGTCGAGAGTGAGATGAATAAGATGAAGCTTTTAGCTGGTTAGAAGGTTGCAGGTGTACGAACACGAAGATAGGTGATTGTTGGATGGCTCGTTGGGCTTAAAATGATGGTAGTGGTGGATTTCTAGGCTGATTGGTTGGCCGAATCGAAGCAACTGCTTATTCACGTTAGGCATTGATACCATAGTCAATTAATTAAAAAGATTCATATTGATCTACCTTTGTACTTGTGTTTGCTTTTTGTGATCATTGATCTGTATTTCGAGTCGGGAAATGATAGGCTAAGACATTTATGATCAGCTATGGTAAAGTTTTTGTGACTTAGGCAACCTCGTGGCAACTACAGCCGGCAATAAATAACACATGATTGTATCTTTTTCAACATTACGCTGCAATAATTGTAACACCATATTCCCACCTCGTACATTAATTATTGTCTTTCCACTTGCATTTGATTTCTAATTACACAAGCAACGTGATAGAGATGATATTTCCGTCGCGCAAAAGATCCAACGTTGGGATCGTGGAAAGCTGCAGGTGGCTGGTGCTGGGATACTTGGTTATGGGGATGGGGGTGGAAAGAGTTTGGGGGAAAATCACACTGGATAGTGTGAGGGAAATTACGGAGGCTACGAGGGAGGGGAGGGAAAGGGTGGGGTGGGGTGAGGGGGGTGGTGGTGGTGGTGGTGGTGTTGGGAGTGGAAAGGGGGTGGAGATGAGAATGGGGATGGGGATTTATGGGGAAGAGGGAGGGGGGGAGGGAGTAGGAGAGGGGAAGGGAGGACAGGTGATTATGGGGACTGGAAGTGCGGGTGGAGATCGAGATGAGATTGAGAATGTGAGTTTGCTTTTTTGTCCAGATTCTGTGATTCTGTGATTCAGGGGCTAGGGCTGGTGGATGTTAACATGATGATTTTCGGGAGACGGAAAAGGAGAAATGACTTTACTTGTTGAGATATGATGGATGGAGCGGGGTGGTGACAGCAATCAAATGAAGACAACGCGAGATGGTGATCAGAGAAGGCAAATAACTAATAATAACTAACCCTTCGTTTCTCACAGACGGTAACAGCGGCTCTGCATATGCTCTGCTCGGATCTATTGGTTGAGCTGGAGAAACCTCTCTTAGCTTTTTCTTCTTCATCCTATTCCTCCTCTCCATTCGTGTCTTTCGGGAATACGCAGGTATGCTCTGTTAATCTCCTGCGCCTATACGATAAAGATTCTAGCTGACAGGACGAAGGGAGAAGTAAATTGTACACAGGTAAAAACAGATTTTGATGATTTACTGAGGGAAACAACATGGTTTTTGTATCAGGTACAGGAACGCCAGATGGTGTGGAGGTGGGCGAGGGGAAGCGCGGTTCAGGAGGGGGTGGTGTGGTTGCAGGGGTTGTGGGCTAGCAGGAGAAGTGTGAGTTGTGTTTTTTCTTCTTCTGTGCGACTGCTTTGAGGCGGGAGATGGGATTCACAACTGACGATGGCAGAATTCACAAGATAGGAGCTTTATCGAACAGCAATTGGAGTTGTATAAAGGCACGGAATGTTTTGAGAAGGTGAATGATGAGGTTTTGAGGAAGGACATTGAGGTTGTGGAGTATTTGAATGATTTGATTGAGATGTTTCCTTGATGGAGGTGGGGACTAGGGCTGGAGGTGGAGGTGGAGGTAGAGGAAGACAAGAGACGGATGATGACGGGGTGATTAGCATTGCTATGGTGGTATAGAACGCTGCGAGGAGTACATTTATCGAAAGGGGATGCAAGATTGTTCAATAGGACAATGATTCGGAAAGCGGATGGGGAGTCAATGGAGGCGGTGTTCAACAATGACGAGAATTGAGCATGGAAAATGCGTGTTATTGGATTGTCAATAGATTGAAGTTTGCTATTTTTGTATGAGTAGTATACATATCATTCAGCAATAGGTAGGAGCACAATAGAGGATCAGTATTGGGACAGAATGGCACTTTCCTACACTCTGTCTCCAATTTCCTATGTTTACGGGAATTCTACTATTTGAGAACATAACTCGAAGTAGAGGAACAATAAGGATATCTCCCCAGAGGATTTGAAGCATCATTATACATAACCTACATGCACTCTCCAGCGACGCTCTCTTCCACAGACCCACTCAACCCACTCTTCACAACAACATGACGAGGGCAAGCTGATGACGAGGCATACATACTCTTGCTCTCTACCTTGATTCTTGGAAACTACTCTAAACTCTAATGCTTACCAGTACGATGCCTCATATTCGTTACTTCATGTAATATAGTCAAGATACACTACTTGGACATACTAACTATCTTAACTCATCAGTCAAAAAACCACTACCGGCGACCTCGTACATTCGCACCAATGAACCCAATGATCACCAACAAAGTTTCCCCTCAATCTATCTCAAATCCCCAAATCCCACTGATCCAAGCAGCCTCCACTACCCAGGTACAATATATATCCGAGACTCTGATTCGACTCGGGAATCCACATTATCCATACTAAGGGTCAGATGTAATGCGCAAGGTGGACAATGGGGGGTTTTGTTGCACGTCTGAATTTTTGCATGTTCGCCGACCTTGGGTTTTCAGGCCGCTTTGGGATGGCCTGCTAAGATGGCCGAGCTTGAGGCGCTTTTGGCTTGTTACATATGCATCGTGGTGAAAGGGCCTCTTCCTAGGTAACCGATTTCCCCACTATGTGCACGTCCCTACTACGTGCACGACTTTGGAAATATCAACATTATGGCTTCAAACATCGATGATATGCCTTTAGAGGCTCGTATAGAGCTTGCATTAGATCATTTGAAAGGGGTTCAAGCTCCTAAATACACCCAGACAGCTAATTTCTTCAAAATTGATCGATCCACGCTCTCCCGGCGGCATAGAGGTAAAACCACCTCGAGAAAACAGTTCCTCTCCGATACGAAACAAGCGCTTTCTAGTGATCAGGAGGAGGTTTTAATTGATCAAATCAACAAGCTGACACAGAGATCTATCCCTCCTACAAGCCGCATAGTCAGAAACCTTGCAGAAGAGATCCTAGGCAGAGAGGTGGGAAAGAACTGGACTAGCAATTTTGTCAAGAGGCATTCAACACGTCTTAAAAGTCGGTATCTCCGTTGCATTGATAATTTGCGTGTGAAAGCCGATAATGTTGCTATATTTGATTACTTTTATGATCTGGTTTGAGCTATTTTCTATTGTTGTTGATCTTTATTACCTAAAACGCTCTTGCTAATACCCCTCTTTTTTTAATTTAGTTGATAAAAGTGACCATAAAATACGATATACGGCCGAGAGATATATACAATTGGGACGAGAAGGGCTTTATGATCGGTATGGGGAGGACTATGAAGAGGATAATGAGTGCTAGCGCCTATAATAGAGGCAGAGTGACAAAAGCTAGGCAAGATGGATCAAGAGAGTTTATTACTCTACTGGCAGCTATATGTGCTGATGGGACAGCTCTCCCTCCCGCTCTTATTTATAAAGGAGACTCAGGGGATCTACAAAATACATGGGTTCAGGATGTAGGGGAGAAGGATAAAGCCTATTTTGGAGCCTCAAGCAATGGGTGGTCGTCGAATGCTTTTGGCCTATATTGGCTTATAAACGTATTCGACCCTGCTACACGTCGAAAAGCAGGTGGAAGATATCGTCTACTTATTGTCGATGGTCACTCTAGTCATGTCAATATGGAATTCCTTTCAAAATGCGATGAATTAAAGATTATTGTCTTAATTCTCCCCCCTCATTCTACACATCGACTACAGCCTCTCGACGTTGGAACCTTCGGTGCCCTTTCAACGAATTACAGTACATTATTGAATGATTTGATGCACAATAGCGGGGGAATTGTTGGTATGACAAAGCGCATGTTTTGGGGCATATTTAAAAAGGCTTGGGAGCTCACTTGTACGAGGCATAATATCTTACGATCCTTCGAAAAAACGGGCATATATCCTATGAATAGGAGTCTTACGATCGACTGTATTGCTCCGGAAGCTCCTTCTACGCCACCTACATCATTTAAAACTCGCAGGGATGCTCTTGCTACACCGTATACGTCAAAAGCGATGCGTAGAATGAAATTAGAATTTCGTCGCGCTCCCACCCATGAGATCACTTTAAAGCTTTTTAAGGCTGCAACTACATTAGGAGCTGAAGCTTCTATACAGGGGCATAGATCTAAAGGTTTAGAAGAGGCTCTAAAGCTTGAAAAAAGGAAAAGAGCTCGTTCAAAGCGTTTAAATCTCATTGGAGAGGAGGGGAATGGTGCGTTTTTATGGTCACCCTCTGCTATTATTAAAGCTAGAGCGTATCAAGAAGATAAAGCACTTAAAGAGGAGCAAGAGAAGGAAGCTAAGCTTCAAATAAAAGCTGAAAAGAAAGCTGAGAAGGAACGGAAGGAGATTGAGACGAAAGAGAGAGTATTGCAGAGGGAGGTTGATCGTCAGATTGCACGTGATGCGAAAGAGGAGGTTAAAAAGACTCTAAAATCAACGAAATCTCCAATCAAAAGAGATAAAAAGTTCCCCAAAGCTTCTTCTACTATAGATCTAACATCAACAAAGACTATAGAGCTCTCTGATGCTGTAGAGGCTAATAATTCGAAGGAGAAGGAGGAGGAGGTCATATTGCGATCTAGTAGAGGGCGAGCACTACGAGTTCCATCGAAATTCAAAATCTGAAGATTTTATTATGTTTTTAGATAGTATTATATCTTGTCATTTATCAATTAAATTGCTAGCTCTTTATCTTATAAATTGGAATTGTTATTAATTTTTAAAGTGATTCAAAATGGGTGATCAAGATCGTGCATATAGCAGGGACGTGCACGTAGTAGGGAAATCGGTTAGATATGTAAGCGAAATAAATCGGTAGCCGCATTGGAAAACTTTGAAGAGTCTTTACGGTTGGATTAGTCCTTTTTGAGATGGTGTAGGATTTGTTTTGTTAGAAATTTTGAGCTGTGTAGAGGCTGGATTTAGATTTTATCTCTTCTAATTTATGGTTCTATTTGTAGTTTTTTTGTGGTTTCAATTCATCAGTGAGATTGAAGTACTCAACTCAAATTCGGCGACTTAATTCGCTGCCGTAGAGTAAGGCATAGGAGCTCACCGGGAGCTCATCGTTGAGTTTAAGGTTTTCTTGAACTCAAACTTGGTCAAAGCTCGCCGGGACCTTTCAGGTCAGCGAGATCTTTATTTTCACCAGCCACAGTTTTGTTTGGAAGCGGAATTCGCAGGGGGTAAAGCCACAATGGTAGTGGAATGAATCTACCAAGGATGTGGAATGATTGGCATCATTGGAATACATTTGATGAGATAATGTGACGAAGGACACACAACATTCATGATTTGTTAATTTAGTTTTTAATCTTTGCAGCAAGTAAATATGGCAAGACTTAATACGGTGCCTGTTCCGGCGAGGGATCCGACAGCTACGAATTTGGAACGGATGTTAGTGAGATTACAGAAAATAATCTTGGGTCCAGATACGTCTGCCACTTCGCAAAGCTATGCTGAGTGGGTGAAGACGGGCGCGGTAAGAATCTTTTACCTTTCTCTTATGAGAAAGCATGAGGCTGATTGTGCAATGCGATAGAACCTGGAATATGCGCGGGGTTTACTGGTTCATGTAGAGCAGGATGCGCAGAATATCAAAGTGTTATCGAGGAAACAGGAGGTACAGGCAGATTTGGTGCGCAAAAGGCATTTGATACAGAGACTTGGTGAGAGATTGGAGGAGTTACGAGAGGTGTGTACAATCTTTGATCTGCGGAGAATCGGACATGTGCTAATAGCTTCATCGTAGCTTGCGAGTTATGAGGAAGAAGGTGAAGATTCCTCCGAGGGAGAAGATTTGTTGGGAATTGCGCAAGATACTCCTTCGGAAACGACTGATGAAATGATGAACACGAGTGAAGAACGATCAACACCTTCTCCTATTGATTATACATCTTCTCCTATCGGACAAACAGAGTTGGATTCTGCGCCAGCACAAATCCAAACACAAACCTCTCAGACTCCCGAACCATCTACTCTCCGCTCTCGTAATCCTCGCGCCGAACTTTTTGAGAAATCCCCGAATCAAGCTTTCACAACATCTACCTCTACCTCCACTTCTACCTACCGACCAGCCCCTACCCCCTCAAGCACCACCACCGCCACCACCGAGACACTCCTCACGCACCACCGCACCGAGCAAGAAGATCTAACCAATTCTCTCCTCTCCATGGCCCAGGAACTCCGCGCTCGCTCACAAACCTTCGCCAGTACCCTCGCAAGCGATTCCTCGGTGCTCGATTCTGCAATCGCGGGAATTAATAAGAATGAGCTTGGATTGGAAGCGGCGTCAAAAAGAATGGGCTATTTGAGGAGCATGACGGAGGGGAGGGGTTGGTGGGGTCGCATGATGATGTATGCGTGGATTGCGGGTTTGGCGGTCCTGGCTGTGTTGGTGGTGTTTGTTATGCCGAAATTGAGATTTTGATTGGGAATGGGAGGAAAGACTGTGTGACAGGGTGCAGAGAGAGGTTGTGGAAAAGATTATTTGAGGAGAGTAATGGAGGTCAGCAAAAAATAGGATGGCGTTTTGAGAAAAATAAGTATTGGACGGAAGGAGGGAGTTTTGCGGTGTTTGAGGTGCTTGGGAAATACCATAAATAGTGGTAGGCTTTCTTCTATCTTGATGTATTGATTCTAGCATGTTTGGATGGGTATTGGGAAGAGCTATGTTATGATCTGATGTGCTTTTTTTACGCGTTACAAAATGTGAAAATGGGATGGAAGAGAGATGATGAATTGTATTGTATTGTATTGTATTTGTTGACTTGACGAAGTAGCAATAGGAATGAGTATGCGGGGTTTATTGTGTATCTTGTGTGTATTGTGTATTATTAAATCGCATCACATTGTATTGCAGTGTATTTCGTTGCGAGTTTGTGAAGATGAAACTGAAGATGAAGGAGGGATGGTGGGAAGTTGAAGTTGGAAGTTTTAAGTTGTAAATGATGAGTGATGAGTGATGACTTGTCAAAACACTTGTAAATAAATAAATAACTTTGCTGGAAATGTATTCTCTTAGGTACTTGCTTTGAAACTTGGCAATTGAAAATTGAAGTCGATGTTGATGTTGATGATTTTCTCGGTAGGTAGGGGGAGAGAAAGAGAGAGATATGTATTCAACTAGTTCATCCAGTTCATCCAATCCAATCCAATCCACTTCAGCTCAATCCAATTCAATTCATCTCATTTCCCATGTTATGTCAGATTACTGTATACCAGCCATCCCTCATACCCATCCTCATCGCTCATAGATCATTTCCCAAACTCCAAATGATATTGCCATGCCATGCCATGCCATTTTCTATACGCCATCTGCTCCATGTCTGCTGAAGGAATGTCTTTCATATCAGATCTCCTGAGAAGATGTAAAGAAATAAAAAGAAAAGGAAATAATAAGGAACTTGCTAATTGATGGAAAGAGATCAAATGAAAAGAGGTCAAACGAAATGGCAAAAAGAGATTTGAGAATCAAATAAAATACTAATGGAAAAACGAGAAAAGCGGTATTGGATCTTCCCTCAGGATGATACTTTTGGGTTTGAGGGGAGAGAATTGGAGGTATGAAGATTTGAAAGATGCGAAGATGAGACATGATAGATTTCGTATTGTTGGTGAAATCTGATGTGGTTGGGTATTCGTGAGGTACGGTGGTGATTTATGTTATGGTTGAGATTGAGATTCAGATTGAAGAAAAATGAAATGTCATATGCGATGGAAGATGCAAGAAAGTGCAGCCGTGAAAGAGATCCGAGATGCAAAAGTCGAATTTTATAAGATGATAGCATCATCGACAGAATTTCCCGAGGCGGGAAAAGAGCGTTGTGTTCGCGAGATGTGGTTGGTGGTGGGAGTTCTGGGAGGAGATGTTGGACTTGGGACATGTTAGGGTGGGGGTTTGTGAACTGGGGAGGGGGAGGGGGAGGGGGAGGGGGAGGGGGAGGGGGAGGGGGAGGGGGAGAGAAATGAGAATTAAAGAACTTACTTTTCCATTTCCTCATCCTCGGTATTCGGATCACTGCTATTCGTCTCGGTATCTGAATCTGATATAACAATCACAGTTTCTTTTTGCGTAACCATCCCATTTTGCGATCTGGGAAGCTGTGCAAGATGTGCGTGACGATGTGTAGACACAGGAGCAGAAACAGAATCTCTCATCAACTCATCGAACGCCTCGTCATCATCCACCTCACTATCACTATCATATTCGAATTCTTCTTTTCGCTTTCTCTCCTCGGTCACTCGAGTTCTCTCCATCATCATCATCCTCTCTTTTCTCCTCTCGTTTTCGCGTTCTTTTTTCTCGACTTCGCTGCTTTCGTCTTCGGCTTCTTCATTTCTATCCCGGATTTCTTCACCGCAGGAATCGACTCCCGTTTCGTGGAGGATGGAATCAGATTCGATATCTTTCCAGCTGGGTGCTTTGCGCCAAGAAGGTAGCATGCCCATTGGTCGTCCTAGGGTAGGTCTTTGAAATCGGAATAGATCTTTAGGATGGCTTTCTGGGAGGGGTTCATAGCGATCGTCCCATTCGATACCGGTTTTAGATTTGAATATATTTTTAAAATCGAGGAAGGCGTCGGCAAATATTTTAGCTGTGGGGAGGAAACGGGAGATTAGTTTGAGGTGTGAAGTGGGAAAAGGCGAGGAGTGAATGGGGGAAGAAAGACTCACGACGACAATCTTCTCGAAGATAAGAGGGACTTTGGTAGGTAGTTGTTAGTTTTGCTCCAGCCATATAGGTATGTGGTTGAGCATTGGATTCGAAGAGATAGACCGTATATTTCTGATTTTTATTTTTGCCATGCAAAAGAACACGGGTGAGAACGACTTTGTATTCGAAATTCGTCTGATCGACATAAACATGATGAAGTCCTATTTTCATATTAGATGATTCTTCCTCGAACCCCAAGCTCCAAATATCAAACTTCAAACGAAGTAAGAATATTGGAGCATAAAAAGATAGGATATACATTGGGGGGAAACACATACGATCATCACATAATTCCTTGCTCGCTTTCACATTCTCCTCGAATCTCTGTCGATACTTGATCTTCTGGTCTTCAGTATGATGTAAACGACGGATTACACGACCAAGTGTATATCCCGTCACGACGAGTTTCTTTTTCTTATTAGTTTTCAAGGTCAAACAATCGACTAGCCAATCGATGACAACTATATGGCATCGTTTCCCCATAGCCATTGCTTTGCGGACTATAACACACACTCTGTATCAGCAAATCTCCTCAATGAGACAAACACAGATACAAACATGAAAGATGTGAAGATTAAAACATACCCTGAGTCCCCTTCTTCTTATACTCCTTGATAGTCACAATCAAATGCGTCGTATATTCATCCACTTCCCTTGCATAATCGCCCCCATGAACAGTAATCCATTTACTGATTTTCTCATAGTTCCATTGAGATTCGGCGTTGGGACCGGGATGCTCAGCGATGAAGTCGCCTGCGAGTGACATGTTGCAGCCACTGAATATGGGTTTCAGCGCACCGTTGCTGTAAGAATTTTTGTTGCGTTTGGGTTTGGGGGGTGTAGGAAGAGAGGGTCTGTGGGATTTGGATTTGGATTTGGAGGAGCTTTTGTGTGTAGGGGCTTTGATGCGTGGCATGATTGTGGTTGTTGATGAGACGTGAGGCGTGAGATGGTCTAGAGGGTGTTAGCTATATTATGCGAGATGTGGTAGCATAACTCGAGAGGAAAGATAAATAGCAATTGCGAATAAATCGACAATGAGGTTTCCCATCTATGAAGCTGACAAATGACGATAGTATGCTCAGTAAAGAAGCAGACTAGACATAGTCCAAGACCTAAGCCAGAAACACAATGCTATATAAATATAACACAATGTCACGACCACAGAATGAAGGACTCCAACATCACGATGAAGTCTGGATCCATACTTCACTGAGTCAAAATATCTCGCTTAACGCAAAATGACAAATTATGCCCCAAAATCAAACACGATGAATCGAAAATCATAACGGATGAAAGACAAAAACATAGAGCAGATACTAAGCCACGGAAGTAGTTCGAAGGGTGAATCTATGAAGAGATAATTGAATAGAAAAGAAACAACACGAAATAACAACTTACGAAGATATTGGCTCTTGAAATCCGGGAATCCGTAGCTCTCAATAAGATGGTTCAGCTGACGATAAAGAGAAGTTGTGAGTCTAATGATTTGATATCCGAAAGACTTCAAGTTTCAGACAAGGAATTAGAGAGGAGGTTGAAGTCTGGAAAGAAAGCAGAAGGAATGTTGATGTCAGATAACTTAAGTAAGTAATAATGAGATCAACGCGATCGAGAAAGCAATGTAAAGAATATGGGTCACAAAATGGTAGTGTGAAAAGAAGTAAGTATTCGGTAGTAACTTTGGAACTGTTGAGAAATTGATATCGAAGTGGGGTAGGACAAAAGGTATTGAATATATGTCGAGACTAGAGAGGTAGTTGCGACTGTGGATGGGAAAATTGTTTCGTTCGAACACTAGTAGGGACGAGATTGTTTCTTAACGATTGAGGGATAATTGAGAGGTGTAGAAAATAAAAGTAGTCCACCTCTCAAGTTTCAAATGTAGTAGTCATTGTAAGTAGCTAATTGTACTAGTAGTAGGTCGAAGTCATTAGTGGAAGTGAATTTCCATGTCAGATATACTCAAATTTTGAAAGTGAAAATGTTTTCGGCCGAGGCGAGGATAAAAAGGGGGCAACCGATGCTCATGCGAAATGTCACGAAAGAAGCTGATGCAAGTCCAAGTAATCAACATTTCGACCAAGAAAATAGAAAATTTCTCAATTAATAGATCGTGTATCGCAATTGCACATTTCGAAGAATGATCCAGAAGATTTCAACTGATTAATCGACTTTTCATAAGAACGAGTCATTAGTCATTATTTACCATAAAAGTTCATTCAGGATACTCAGCCATGTCTATCTGACGCTCTTAGCTGCCTTGATGAAAGCTTTGATCTTCTCGATACTCTGAGCACCATCTTCTTCTACGCCACTACTGACATCGACACCAATTACCCGATCACCAACATCCCCCGCTGATAGCACAGCCTCTGCTACGTTCTCAGGATTTAATCCACCAGCAAGAATGACTCTGAGACCTTGATCTTTGCTCAAAGTAGCTTTGACTTCCGTTATATCTAATTTTTGTCCAGAGCCACCTGATGCGGAGTCTAGTAGGGGAATGGTATGATAGCCTCTTCTCCCAAGACCAACCTGACCAGGTTTGAAGCTTCGAATAACAGGAACTGGTATTAAGTTTGCCCATTCCAATGGCTCATCGCCGTGTAGCTGTACTATATCCAAATAATATGCCTTTTGCAACTCTAGAACCTCTTCTAGAGTTTGATTTTGGAAGACACCAACCAATAAAGGACGATGACTTGAGATATTGGAGGCTGCATTGCTGAAGAAATCTGATGCTTGGTTGCTCACCCGATCACTAAGAACTGTTCCTGTCGTTTGTTGAGCTTGATGAACAGCTTTCGAAATAGCGATTGCATCTTTGTATGGAACATGTCGACCTCTACCGGGAACGAGAATCATTCCGATTAAATCCGCACCAGCTTTGATAGCTTCAGTTGCAATCTCAGCACTTCTTGTTCCGCAAATTTTTACAAGTAAACTACCACTTGCGGATTTTGCTTGAGTAGTTGAACCACCGAGTAATTCTCGAATGAAGAGAGCTGTATCTTTGGCTCGCATAAGCGCTTCACCCACAAGAACGGCACCTACGCCATTCTTTTGGTAGGCTTCTACATCCTTGGGGCCGGAGATACCACTGAGAGCACACACAATGGTTTCTTTCGGAACTTGACTGAGAAGACGACTTGTAGTATCTAAGTCTACCTCAAAACTGGTTAGATTTCGGTTGTTTACACCGATAGCTTTTGCACCAAGGTTGACGGCTATAGTCATTTCTTCTGATGTATTGACTTCCACCAAAGGCTCCATTCCAAGCGACACGGAATAATGATATAAACGGGTTAAGGTTTCTTCATCAAGCATCTTGACAATGAGTAAAACCGTATCGGCACCAGCTAATCTAGCTTCTAGAATTTGATATTCTTCGAAGATAAATTCTTTTCGTAGAACAGCAGGTCGATTTGGCATGCCTTCAAGAGCCTGCCTTACAGCTCGCAAGTCATCAATGCTTCCCTTAAACCACTCTGGCTCTGTTAAAACCGAAATCACGCTTGCACCAGCCAGGGCATATGTTCTAGCTTGAGCTGGAGCGCATGTTGATAACGAGATCACGCCTTTCGAAGGGGATGCTCGTTTGATCTCAGCCATGAGCGACAATGGAAATGGAGACTTGCGAAGACGTTGGACAAAGGGGACAAGAGGTGGCGCAATATCGAGTTCATAGGTGGCCTGGAGATCGGAGGGTCGTTGGGAGGGAATTTCTTTTTGTGCGGAAACTGCGGCTTTGCGGTGCGCGAAGATCTTGTCCAGTATGTTCTCCTTTTTGGCACCTGTGGAACCAGATTTGGACGCTTGCGCAGTGCTGCTTGAATCCTCTTTTTGCAAACGCTCATTTTCCGCCCAAGTGCCACCTCGCATCTTCAAAAAGTTCTTGAGCATTACCCGACCTTCAGCAGTCAAAATACTCTCAGGATGGTATTGTACACCTTCTAGAACATATTCTTTGTGTCGAACGCCCATTATCACACCCTTCCCCCCATCAACACCGGCCTCGATCCAGGATGATACTTCGAGACATTCCGGTATGGTTGAATGTGTGCCAGCAAGTGAGTGGTATCGTGTTACTGGTAAGTCTTGTGGTAGACTGGCATAGACTCCTTTTGAATCGTGCCGCAATGGAGATGTTTTTCCATGTAAGATTTCTCCGGCAAATACAACCTCTCCTCCATATACGTCCAATATGCACTGCCTGGGTATTTGTTTAGTAATGTCCTACCCAATCAGCTCCTCAATACTCACTGTCCCATGCAGACTCCAAACACAGGTATCTTGCCTGCGAAATATTTGATAGCATCTCTACTAACACCAGAATCGGTCTTCGGATGCCCTGGACCAGGACTTATAACCAATTGAGTAGGTTTGAGCGCAATGAGTTCTTCAACACTAAGTTCATTGTTTCGGTATACGGTTACAGTCGCTCCTTCGAGGACAAAATATTGGTAGATGTTCCAAGAGAACGAGTCGAAGTTGTCGATCAGGATAACATTTGAAGCAGATGCTAGTGGGGGAGCTGGCTCTGGCTGGTGCGGAGAATAATCGATTAACTCTGCAGAAGGCATTCTGAGTCTTCTTTATCGTTTGGAAAATTAATATGTTGTAGAATAGAAGAAGCTTTGGAATTGACAGTCTATCTTTTTAGATCAAAGAGAGAGGAGAAGATTCTAAGATGTATTTCCTTTGAGATTCTAGATGTCCACGAGTGAGTCAAAGATCAAAGGTCCCTCCTTTTTTTGGGTGGATGATTAATGGATTGAGTGATGGATGGTGGGGAGCAGGTGCTGAATTGCTAGGATAACAAACCCTGCAAAATAAAAAAAAGCTTCACCTGAAAGAATGGTTACGGGACGGTGCGTGGGTGCTCATAATAATTTATCTAGCGAATGAAGAAGGTTGACCGCGACAAGGCGGACAAGGCGCGTCAACCAAAACTTTCTTGACGATTTATTGATTGTTTGATATCGAATTTTCTCATAACAAGAAACCATTCCACCACTGTATGAAAATTTGACCTCTCTCATGCTTTATGCTTCGGACAACACTTCACCACAAATCTTGGCTCATTGAGCTTGGGTAGGTAGTAGATATGGTACCAATTCCAGAGGCTAGCTATTTCCCTGAGCTGGGTAGATGTCTGAAGGGAGAAGACATATTGATGTAGGTTTAGTATTCATGATATCGATCCCAATTGACATTCTACTAATCTCTTTCAATAGCTCTTGGGAGACGGCATTCTTTGCCCTTTTAGATATCGAAGAGAATGGAGCCCAAACTACACTTGAGAAGTTCTTTAAAGATCCCAAAGTACTATCTTTACTTTCCAATCCTGTCACTGCCTTTCCAGAACCTACCAGCGAGACGAAAGGAGCATTTGAATCAAAAAATGCTCCAATAAATGCCGACCATTCTTCCGCAGATTATGACGTTAGCAAGGTGTCTGAGGATGCACTATGGTTGAGTGGAATGGTCAAAATCGACGAGGTTACCGCCCTAAGAATCGTTGTGCAAGAACATCAATCGCGAGCATATGCGCAACTTTTGGGGAAACTTTCAGAAGAAGAATTGATCAGTCTCCAAGATGCCTTTGGCAACAAAAAATCCACGAATTTGCTCTCCGCTGGATCTTTCATTGGCACACAAGCAGAGGTTGCGCCATCAGAGGAAGAAAGTCAGAGAAATCGACGTATGCGAATGCTCAGCATTTACCTATCAGAACGACGCTTTTTCTGGAAATGCCTCACATTGATAATTCAGCGACCCAGACTTTCACCCACACCGATTACTCCTCTAGACGACTGGTACGAGGGTCTGCATATAGAAGTGTTAGGCAACTGGAAAAGTTCGGGCGCATCTCAGAATCGTATGGTGGAACTGGTGAAATCTATTGATGCA